TGCCAACAAGGCTGTGCGTTTTCTTGCCTCTACCCCTCCATAGCCTTTACCCCAACACTTGATCACAGAACCGTATCAGTCTGAGTGTGGCTCTCCCCGACCACTATGCTCACACATGGGGAATTTGAGCTGGGTTAGCAATGCTCCTCAATTAGGAGACCCAAAAAATGGCTGGACTTTTTTGTGAGCTGAGCACTCTGAGGTGGTGGCCTCCCTTCCACCTGCCTTACCCCAGATAGGAATGAAAGCAACATCCATAAAGCATTGACGAAGGCTGAGCGTATAATAAACACACACACACACACACACACACACACACAGGCAAGAGCTGCAAAACCTGAGAGGACACATGGCTCAGTTAGGTTCTGCACAAGGCCACAGGGCCTGTTCCTGGAATACAGTCACATCTGCTCTGCTTCTAAACTGTCTTGGGTAGACTTTTTAGGTAAGTAGGATCCTAGAACCACAGAAGTGGAAGATCCTCATTTTACAGGGGCCAAAGTTGAAGTCTGAAGAAGGGAGGTGCCAGTCCATGCTTGACTCTCAGACTCCTGTCATGAAAGGCTTTGTGGAGTCAGGTGGCCTGAGTGGCCACTCTCCAGACAGCTATGAGCCATGCCATGTGGGCCAATTCACTCCTAGGCAGGCATGCAGAAGTCCACAGTGGGCTGTGACTCCAGTGCCATTGAGACATTGTGCCCCCTGAGAAGGATCCAGTTACTTCCCACCCTACCTCCAAATTTTCTAACTGATAGATTCACTCCTGGGCTCCCTCTCCTCCCTTCTCATTCCAAACACTTTCTAAGGGGAAATGCTGCCTTGTCTCTCTGACTGAGCCCCTTCTGACTGAGCCCCCTCTGGCAGACTGTTACTTTCATGAGCAGCGCTCTTCAGCCTGCCTGGTGTCCTGCTGGAGGCCTCTGGCCTGTGGCCCACTGGAAGGGCTGGCTGTGTTCTCTGGGCCTGGGGGAGGCTCTCTATCCCCAAGATGACATGTTCTCTCACAAGAATCAATGATGACGTCTGTGGCTCAGCGACAGCTGTAGTATTTTCCTTTCACAAGGTTTTCTGGAGACCAGATTCATACAAAAGAAGAGCTGGATGCTTTTTCTGCATACAAGCTGCTCTTGGAAAGAATTCAATTTTTCTCTGTGCTTTAAGAAAAAAATCAGTGTACAATCCCTAGTCATTTTCTGCTATGAGTTTGAATGAAGTTGTTAACAAGATAACAAGATAAATGACTAGCAGAATTTGAATTACAATCCTATTACATCCACAGGGTTATCAGTACCATTCAGTTCTGATACCAAAGCTCCTCTCCTGCTGGAGCCATGAGTGCTGTCGGGGGAGAAGTTAATATGCTGGAGTTTGATGGAGTTTTGACTCTATTATCGTATAATCCACACCTCTTATCTTTTCCATGCCACCTTAGCAATAAAATGCCAGAAAAGTCAGGTGAGGGGTGTGTGTGTACATAATGAATGAGAACAGTTCAGGCCTGACTTCCCCAAGCTAAGATGACAAAGCCTGCCATTCTCTCCAGAGGACCTAATCCAGCTGCTTGGGAATACAGAATTCAGAGTCCATAGTTTGATCACTGGCAGAGATGCCCACCTGCCAGTGTAGGGGGTCTCCCTACAAAAGGCTGGTATCAAGCACCCAGCCTGTTCTGCCCCAGCTGGCCTGCCCCAGGCTTCCCACAGGGATGCCAAACCCTCCTGTCTAGCAGCACTAAACTAATAGTGTACAATTCTCCCTAACAAAATGGAAAATTTGCTTTTTTAAAAAATAATAATAATAATTATGCCTCACCACTGTAGGAGGGATATTTGGTAACCCCAGTGGGGGCCTGCCTTCATTCACAGTCCCTTCATTCACACTTTATCCCTGCATATAGACAGCCGGCTCTCCCCATCACTGGTGAGTGGAGAGTTCAGCTGACAGATTCCATCAAAGGAACTTGGCTTGTTCTGGTCGACCTTGACCCCTGCTCTCCACTGTTCAAAGAGAGACAGTGTAGGATATTGCCAATTGTGGTGGCAGAATTCTGCTAGTTTAACCACTTTAGCAGCAACATTTTGTCTGCCTCCATATGATGGCCTTTTTGCTGTCATTTGTACAAAGTAAAACACATTCTCCATGCATGTAATTGTAACTCTGCAATGCCAGAAAGCTGAGCAGAGGAGCAGTAGGGCACAACTGGTACCTGGTATCACATGCAACGCCCGAGGAAACCCAGGAGGCATGATTTTTATTCAGCAAGCAAAGAACACACTGAGAGCACCAGAGGTCAACACAAAGGGACTGTCACTGTGTAAGGACAACATACAGCTCCACTCCTGGGTGACCCTGGACTCAGGATGCTGGGAGAGAACTACATCCTATATTGCTCACAACAAATCCTGTTAGAAGTGGGCATCAGAAGGAAAAAGGGGAATTTTCTTTTTCCTGCCATAAGAAGCTCAGGCTAAATCAAGACATCTCTTCCTAAAAACTTATTTGCCGGATCACTAAAAAAAGACCAAAATGTTTGCTTTTGTCTGAAAATATTAAACACCCTAGTATTTCTCCAAAATATTTAACTACAATTATTAACTCCCTTTCTAAAAGTTGTAATACTACAACTTTTAACACTTCAGTGCCCTTTGTTTTTTCATAACAACAGGTATCAGAGCAATCACCAAAGGAGTCGGCCTTCTCTGGCAAACCCATAAATATAATGGGACCGTCTTTGCCCAGTCACTAAAATTGGATAGAATTACACCATGGTAGCCATTTTTTGATTTTTTCTTTTTTTAAACCTGAAGAGACTGTTACATTTTCTGTTTACGTATAGCTGCTCACATAGCCACAGCATATCAATTCACATTATAAGAGGGGAAAATCTTAATTTAAAAAATAATTTAAAAGTGTTTTTTTCCCCCATTGGGGGAACTTTACAGGGTAAAAAGGACTCATATGGGGCCCTAAAATAAATGCCTATATCTAAATTTTTAGTGTCTCTCTCTTATTGGTGTGATCACTGAGAATCACATTTTTTATTAAACTTTCTGGCCCTTACCATCCAAGACAAGAAGGGCAGCATTAAAGTCTTTCCAGGACCCTAAAGACAAAGCCTAGCACCACTTTAAACATGAGTGCCCAGGAAAACATCAAAGTTTTTAAAAGGAGTCATAATAGCCCCCAGAGAGGTGGGTGTCCAACTTGTATCTATTCCTTCCCCCAGCCTTTTGCTCTAGGCCACAAAGGACTCCCAGGGATAAATGAATCTAATAAAACAATGAGGCAAATGATGAAGTTGGCATATTCAAGCTCAATTTAACACGGATAGAAGATCCTAATGATTCAACAAGACTTTAGGGGCAAAATACAGGGACTAGGAAATGGGCTTCCACCTCGGTCTGCACACCTGGGTCTGGCACCTTGTCAAGGGGCCATAACAGCCAAGATGCAATGCCCTGCTGCTCCAAGGCAGGAGGGAAGGGAGCAGACCTTCCTCTAACTCTGAATAACTGGGGTGTGGTGAGTTTAAATCTGACAAAAGCACTTTTGTGTGAGTTCACTTCCCCTTACTATCACACTGCCAAAAACTACAGCAACAACACTCAGTGAAAGCATGTAAAAGCAGACATAGACTCGATAGCTAAGCACAAGTATATATTGGCCAAGTATAAGTATGCCAGTTGGAGGGCACTAAGCCTACCTGGAAGGAGCCTTGTTGGCATAATGGTTAAGCACTAGGCTGCTAACCAAAAAGTCGGAGGTTCAAATCCACCTATAGCCTTGACAGCCCTATAGGGTCGCTGAGTCAGAAACGAATTAATGGTAAATGAGTTTGCTTTGGCTTTTGGAAGCCTACCTGGCTGACAAATATGAGTCCTCTCTGAAGGCAGGCCCCAGGACGCCTCCCAGCCTCCTTCACGCCCTATGCCAGCCTCTTTGCCAATTTCTTAGGAAACCCTCCTGGCAGGTCTCTAGGAAAAGCGGTAGCTGCCTCCTCTTTCCCAATTTCCAGCCATTGCACTCCCGAAACCTCCTCCCCCTACCCACACCCCGACAAAGTACTGCTACCACCTCCATCTGCCCAGCCAGGGAACTTCTGGACCTCCAAACCCCAACCACTCCCCCAAATCCCATCCCCTTTCCCAATTCCGTGTCAGATTAGACTCAGCAGTTTAAAACATCTCCCTCATCACACTCCAAAAAGGAAAAAAAAAAAAATACTCTTTCTATTCTTTCCATTCTAAATCATTCCCAGTTGGAATTGATAAAAGGAGGTGGCGCTACCTTCGCTAAGATTAGGAAGCTCCTTACACATCTTTCGGACAAATGTTTCCTTTCAAAACTGAGGAGAGGGCACGTTAAATTTTTAAAAGTTAAAGAAAAAAAGGTAAAGCCTTTTACAGCTGTTCCTTGCTAAGGGTAAGTACCGTTCCCCCACCCCACCCTCCATGAAATGCAATCCTTCAGAAAAGGCATTACATCCCTTCAATTGGCCCCAGGGTGCAGACACTGGAAACTCACCACCCAGGAGCGGCGTGACCGACACCCGGCCAGAAATAAAATGGGTGAGACAAGACTTACCCGGTCCCCCTTCGTTCACCCAGCCTGGAGGCCCCAATTCTCTAACCCGTTTCTACCTGATACAGTGCTTGTTACTGAATCATCAACTCAAGCACCCTCCTTTATCCAAAAGAAGGCCGTGAACACAATGCTGATCTGTTTGCAAAATACACATGGCTGTGACATTTGGTAGCATCAGATCATCTCTTCCCGGGCCTTCGGAAGCTGTACATGGTATATGTGTGCATGAGTGAACAATGTATGGCTGTGGGTGTGAATGTGAGTGTGTTCTCTCTCTCTCCTCCACGCGGACGCGGGGTCAGAGTCAGATGTACACCCACGCTTGGTGAGAGGCTCGGCTTGGCCCGACCCTAGGCTGCTCTTCAGCTAGGGGTCCTCGGCGGCGCGGCTGCTTTCTCCCCAGCCTGGCCCGCACGCTACCTGCAGCCGCATGCCTCCACCACCATGTCTTCGTATTGCTTGTAGACCACGTTATTGGCGGCGTCAATGTACAGGATGCTGATGGGGCTAAGGCGCGCAGGCACGCAGCAGGAGGCCGGCGCCGCGTCGGGAGCCATGGAGTTGAGCAAAGTCTGAATGATGGCGTGGTTGGTGGGCTCGAGATGCGAACGCAGCGGGAAATCGCAAATGCCCTCGCAGTGGTATGCCTCGTAGTCCAGTGGCGCAATGATCCAGTCGTCCCAGCCCAGCTCCTTGAAATCCACGTGCAGCGGCCTGCGGCTACAGCGGCTCCGGCCCCTGCGTCCATGGCCCCTGCTCGCGCCCCCGCCGCTGCCCTGCGCCGCCCGAGTCCCTGCCAGTGCCGTCCGTCGCCGCCTGCGGCCGCCGGAAACCACCTTCGGCGCCCCGGGGCTAGGTCCCGGGTCGGGCGGTGGCTCTGCGGACAGCGCTGCCCCGAGCGCGCGGGCCTGGGCGCGGATCTCTCGGAACAGGCTCTCCTTCCTTTGCGTACGGGAGAAAACAACCAGCAGCGCACGCTCTTCCACCGCGGCGCCGCCTCCTCCCCGTGAGCCTAAGCCCAGCAACCGCGGCGCCAGCAGACTTCGCGCGGGCCCGGCCACTGCGCGCAACAGGAGGCAGAACGCTGGGCCAGCGCGCGGCTCCCGGCGGTGGCGCCGCACGGCGTCCGCCACGTCGAACACCTCCCAGCGAGCGGCGTCCAGAGGCTCGGCGGCCCGCGAGTGCAGCAGGCGCGGCGCTCGGGAGGCGCCGGGGCACGTGGACAGCAGCAACAGGGGTGGCGGAGTTGCGCTGCCGGGACCCAGCTCCAGGGGCGCGCGTCGCAGCACGCGCAGGTCAGCGCCCACTACCTCGTCGGCGTCGGGAATACTAGACACATCGAACAGGAAGCTCTGACCAGTCTCGGCTGCCGAATAGTCTGCAAGGGATGGGCAGAGACAGAAAAAGAAAGATCTAGGTGAGAGCAAAGCCCGCGCGAAGCAGCGGGCCCTCCTAATTGCAGATAACCCGCCGCTCTAGAAATGAGCGTTCCAACAGTCGGAACCCGTCCTGCTATCTCAACTCCAGCCCTAACTCTCATCAAAACTAACTGCCATCGAGTCGACTCACAGCGTCCCTCCTTGGGTTTCCAAGACTGTAAATTTTTAGGGAAGTAGACTGCTTCATCATCCTCCCGCGCAACAAACCCTCGGGCCTTCTGGTTAGCAGCCATATGCCTTACAGACTATGCCACCCGAGTTCCTTTTAATTCTTGACAGTCTGACCTAAAGGAAAGGGAATCTGTGCCTTTTCCCGTCTGAGACTTTGATTCATACAGCCAAAAATCCTAGCACTGCAGCGACCCACGGAAACCCGCATATTGTACATGTCCGCACTTGGAACCAAGACTTAAGGCCACCACAGTTCCGCTGCCTGCCCTGGAATCACCAGTATGCTTGGAGGACAGATTTCCAGGTTGGTGGCGGTCAGGAGGCTCGGTGGACACATCAGAAGTCGTGGGCCCCGGAGGCCAGTTGGGCAGTTCGCCCAAATCTCCGAGCTGTACGGAGACAACTCATTATTGACCCGCTGAGCCTCCGCAGAGCTGCAAGTCCAGGATGTACGAAAACCTGAAAGTTTTGTCCACTGAAAACCAGCTACGACTCTCCCAGAAAGACGCGAATGGTCCTGCAGGGAAACACATCAGCCAAGGCTGCAGAGACCCTGCAGTCCAACCTCACCGTTTTGCCAAAGGAGAACTGAGGCCCAGACAGGGGCCACGCTCTGTCCAAGGTCTCACAGCAAATATGTTTTGCTAGTCCCAACGGCGAACCCCAGGGCCAGATCGTCCTCGTGCCTCCCCCTCCCCAAGCCTCGAATAGAGGTGGAAAGACTGAAAAAGCACAAGGAACCTTCTCTCGGAAGGGATCCAAGCAGTCCGTGCCTCCTTGTGACTAGGAGGGCAAGGATACCTCGAGGTCTGTCTCCAGGACCTATCTGTCCGCAGAATTATTTTTTCTTTCCGTTGTGATTTATCTGGGGTTTTATTTTGGTCGTGGCTTTTTCTTGTTGGGGGGAAGGGGGTTGGGAAAAAAGTTAAAATTTCTGCCAACGCAGATAGGGAGCTCCCTTTGAAGAGTGTCATATGGTTTCGTTTTACCTCAAAGTCAGAGAGACTGTGCAGACTTCCACCATCCGGGATTTGTTCGCTAATCACGGGCCTCAGGCCCTCCGCAGTCTGAAGTCCGAGGTCTTACTGCTGTCGGTGGATTCCTGGGACCTCGAACTGCTCTACTCCAAATTGAGGGAGGTGAAGCTCAGGGTCCCCCACCAATGCTTTTGGCCCCTATAATATGCTTGAGCTCTTTTTCACAGCTTCCTCTACAGCTCCTCTGCCTCTCCTGGCTTCAAGCTCCTTACTACTGCGTTCCTCCAGAAAGAAGACTTGGCCTCAGGAGCCTTGCCAATGAAGTGGAGCTCCCCAAGGAAAGGCCTGGGTTTTAGTTCAGGCTGAGGCAGTGGCAGGCCTATCTAGACCTGAGAAAGTGCAGCTGGCGCCTCTACCAGCTTAAGACCCTGCACACCCTACCCCTTCTGCAGCCTCTGAGCCAACAATGCAGCCTAACACTGTGGCATTAGGTCTGGAGCTAACCTAGGCTCTTGTGGACCAGGACTCAGGCTTCCTAAATTAGTAGTGCCAGCACCCATTCCCGCCAGCATGAAAAATGTTTGATAGTTCCCACAGAATTATAAGGCTATTTGGGCCTGAGATTTGCTTACACTCAAAACAGACCATGCATATGCATTGCTTGTGTGCAGGAGGGGGTGAGTTTTTTGACTGCTGCACTGCTTCTCACTGCTTTCCCAGGTTAGGGGCCAAGGTGTACAGCCTCTCAGCAGCTAGCTTGCAGGGGCCACTTGAGACCTACAGTGCTTACTTTATAGCCTATTCTTCCTTTTCTTTTCCTCCTGGCTTCCATGCTGGGTCTCTGGCTGGATAGAATTAAGGTTGAAATTACTTGAATTTCCGCCTGAAATTAGTTAAAATTTCCCTATCTGTCTTCTTTAATGACTTCAATGGAGATTAATAAAATCCAGATGACACACAAGCAACCACCACTCGGCCTCACCCACGTCCTACCTTTGGAGGGGCCAGGGTGGAGTAAGGTGGGATGCTGTTCTGAGAAAGGCCTGCATTCCTGCACATAGTGTCCTCTCCACCTCACACAACCAGATATTCATCCATCTGTGGCCCTCCGAGGGCCCCAGCATAGGACACAGGCACACATACAAGCTCCCACCACCCAGAAACAGCCTGCTGGGAAGAGTCCTCCTCATACCCGGTGATGCCACCAGTGCCATCTACTTTAATCTGACACCTGCCTCTGCTTCACATTCCCCAGTCTGTGGGGCCGCTGGGAGCTGCAGAGATTGCTGCAACGAAGCAGCCACCATCACTGCGTAGTCCCTCTTGGCCTGACCCCCGAGGTCTGCGCTCCTGCCCTCCTTTCTTCTCTGAGGTTTCCGGCCCCAAGGACACTCCAAACCTTTTCCCAAGAAGCAGATCTCGGATTCTCCCTGCCTCCTTTAGGAGACCCACCGGTCGACAGGGCCAGAGAACCCGGCAGAGGGTCCAGCTCAGCCCTCTGGGGCCGGTCCCCACGAGTTGCCCGGGTTCGCGCCATACTCCAGGCGCAGCGGGTTTGGGTGCGTTGGCCTCCGCGAAGTTTCTTTCTAATACCTGAGGCTGGGGCTTGCGGGGCCCCGAACGAAAAGTAGCAGGGGCACGGTTCCGGCGGTGGCCTCAGCCCAGGACCGGACGGGATGGGCGGGCGTAGGAGAGGCGTGAGTACCTTGAGTCGCCTGGTCTGCGAAGCCGGTGATTGTGTCGGCGTGGCTGTGGCGGCCGGAGCCCGAGGTGGAGGTGGCTACTGCCCCGGCTGGAGCCCTCCCAGACAGACTCCGGTAAAGCGACAACATGAACTGGTGAGGCACCACCGAGCCATTCCTGAAGCCAGAGCCGGCGGCTCGGCGCGCAGCGCGGGCCCCGGGAGCCGCGGCGGACGGGGCAGCGGAGGAGCCCACAGCCGGGGC